GGAGGTAGCAAGAAAAGGAGAGCAACACGGAGCGAGAGGTAAGAAGAGGAGGTAGCAAGAAAAGGAGAGCAACACGGAGCGAGAGGTAAGAAGAGCAGGTAGCAAGAAAAGGAGAGCAGCGGAACCTACTTTATGGACGAGCTCACAGTGCTGAGGCTCAGGTGTAAACACGATCACAAAGATCACGATCACAAAGGACTAACGGCCAGACACCAATGCCCCCAACTGAAGGCATGGCCTTTGTGCAGTGCCAAAAAAATCAGTTATTTACTGTCAAGTCCACCATAAGGATTTTCTTGTCCATGCTTGTTGATTGTGGGTGACTGCAAAAATCATTGAAAAAAAAGTGAATGGTACAGATTTTGGCAGATATTGGCAGGTCAGAATTTAGGAGACCAACCTGTAGCTGAAAATCACGTAGAAACTTCTCCACAGCTCTGGAATTGACGAGCGGAAAAACGCAGACATCGTCAAACATGGGGTTGCTTCCCGAAGAGAATGGGGTGTCATGCCGTGGGAACCCCGGTAGTTGGTAGCTGACATATGGGGCCAGTCCTCGACGGGACCTGGATGCTTCATTCCTGGCTGTCAATCCCTTGCAGTGCAAAAGACAGATACGTATCGCTGACACCCCATATGGAGATGCCTTAGCTGCAGCAGCAGCAGCAGCCATGGGGCCATTGGCCTCTGGTGAATTAAGTGAAGAAAGGTTCAAAGATGGATGGGTTGGAGTAGAAGACGGCACAGAAGGTGGGGGGAAAACTCCTGGAGGAGGCGGAAGTTTCTTACGAATGGGTGATGTGATGGGTGGATTAAGGCAATACATGCGTACGGCATTCGAAATGCTAAATCGCATGCAAATGCTGTACCGAAGTGTGCCGATTGTCTGGCCATCCTTAGTGCCCTTGAGGTCTGCATAATAAAATGTGTGTGGGTCGGATCGACGGCGCACAGGTGCCATGTTCAGTAGTGGCTGGAGGGATATCTTAGCAATCGCGAGGGTAGAAAAATCTATACCATTCGCACGATTAAGCTCAACCAACATCTGCCAAACGATCAAGATCAATAGACACACAACAAAGCAGGAGGATCAGATAAGCTCAAAGAAGAGCGAACTTGACTTCTGAAGTTTTCATCGGGTGAGAGGACCAGGGTTCACTGCCATTCGGGAACCAGACCGCCCTTACCTTCAGCCAATTTGCAGTAACTTCTAATTTAGTAATTTTCCATTTGATGATGACCTATCCAGACCCTTTGACTTAGCACACAATGGCAAGAAGATGTCACAGCCCAGAACATAAATCTGTTACGATCCTGGTCATTCCCAAAGTGCAAATTCACAATGAAAGACAACGCCACCCAATTGTGAAAGAAATGAAAGCACTTGCAAAGAGATAGAGACCAAAGAAGAGAGAAAGAGGAAGAAGAAGAAGAAGAAGAAGAAGAGGAAGAAGAAGAAGAGGAAGAAGAAGAAGAAGAAGAAGAAGAAGAAGAAGAAGAAGAAGAAGAAGAAGAAGAAGAAGAAGACGAAGAAGAAGAAGAAGAAGAAGAAGAAGTACACCAGCAAGACCAATGACAAATCCCCCCTTCTCTCTCCACCTTCCTCCTCCTCCTTCACTTCGCCAATCTTATTGTTCTCCCAATAATAATAATAACAATGATTGGATGAACCAGAATCAATATCTGACGTTCCCTCTTACTGCTGACTCAACAACAACAACAACAACAACAACAACAACAACAACAACAACAACAACAAGTCCGCCATAGCTATGGCTCTCCTCTCACATGCCTAGGCTATGGCGGACTACTGAGGGCCCTGCCCTCCTGTCCAAAGGACAACCCAAAGCAGCTATGGCGCTGCACTCCTGTCCAAAGGACAACCNGCCTAGGCTATGGCGGACTACTGAGGGCCCTGCCCTCCTGTCCAAAGGACAACCCAAAGCAGCTATGGCGCTGCACTCCTGTCCAAAGGACAACCCAAAGCAGCTATGCCGCTGCTGACTAAGCCGCCATGCCTGACTCTGCCTCCAGCTTCCTTGGTGCGGCACTACCCCAACTGGGGCCTTCCAGATGCAGCGCCCAACAAGGTGATGAAGATGGTGTCCACCATAGCCCGGTAGGTGCCTCGCCACTCTCCTCCTTCACCCCCTTCTTCCTCCCCCTCAGGCTGGGCTGCCCGCCATAGCCAGGCTGAGCGCCCAGCTGCCCTTCACCTCCAGGCAGCGCTGTACCAGTCCAGTGCATCGCTCAGCAGCATGTCGCCAATCCTTGCATACCACAAATGAGGAGGAGCTACTTGCTCCTCCCGAAGATATAGCGGCCTACTGGCCTCTTGGGCGGTGACTTCCTAGGCCGAGCGGCCTCCCAGCAACCGGTACCTCGGAGGGAAACATCATTGCAGGCTCTGCTATCCTCCCGACAGGCCCTAGACCCGGGCTACTTGGACTGGTACAGGCCTACCTCTAGCCTACCGCTACTGGGCCTCTAAAAATACCAACTTTTTGTCTTCTTCTGCTCGGCCTCCAGTACCCGACACTTCTACCACTACTTGAGTGGTACCGGCCTACCGGCCACTTGAGTGTTTTTCCCCTCTGCTCTAAGTGTCGTGGGCCTACCCCCGCTATTCGAGTGTTTTCCCCCTGCAACCCTCAAAGTCACGGCCACAGTTAAGTACCGGCCCTGCGGGGCCTTTCAACCAACAAGTACCCTGGCGGGTCACACACACACTCAGCCGACAAGCACTCAGACAGGCATGCAAACCAGCAGGCACGCACACACACACAGACATGGAAATCACAACAGAATGCGGGAATCTCAGCAAGGCATTCATTCCAGCGGCAAATCCCAGAAATCAGCAGTGTTCTCAGTATGTGTTTTTGGCGGGTCATTACACTACCCCCCTCTCAAGAGCGAGGTCCCTTCGAGCGAGTAACTCATTCAGAGGCACAAAATGCATCGTAGGCGTAGATCAGAAAGGGAGATTTAGTAAGACCGTGAGGAATGAGTTTTGCAGAAAACTTAGCAGTCTGTCCATCAGCGATCTGTCGTTCATAGGCGTTAACCACTCGTGGAACATTCTTTAGCAGCTCTTTCCGGTCGATCCAGAAAAACTCGTTCAACGGGTGATAGAGGAAGTGAACCTTGTACTGTCGGTTCCTCCCTCTTCCTTCATGGGAAACAATTCTGTCTATCTCATAGCCGCTGTCGATAGGACGAGGTATCATAGGATCTCGAAAGGGAAAAGTCTCCTCATCGATGTGTGGAAACAGTTTGGACGTGTGAAAGACCGGATATGTGCGCAGATGAGGAGGCACGTCAATCACATACGAAGGACCAAATTCATCCCCAATCACCTTAAGAACCTGCCAAGGGCCATAGTACAATGGAAGAAGCTTTCGTGATACGCCCTCTTCATCAGAAAACTCATACATTTTGACCCAGACATAACTCCCTACTTCGAAGTTCGCTTCTTTGCGCGACTTGTTAGCATGTTTGATCATGGCATGTTGACGCTTGTTCATTGCTGCGATAACAGCTTTGAGCAGGCGTGTATACTTGGCATTGTAGCCAGGCATGCCAGGTGTCAGACCAGGGGACCGTTCGGGGAACAAATAAGAGAGAGGATTGCGCAGCTGCCAACCATATTGCAGTTGATTCGGTGTCACGCCAGTTGTAGAGTGAATGGAGTTGTTGTACAACCCTTTCACTTTGTGTAACTCCTTGTCCCACGTGTTCTGATCTGGAACAATTAGTGCGCAAAGTAGTTGAATGACAGTCTGGTTGATTTCCTCGGCCAATCCATTGGCTTCGGGGTGTCGACCAGAAGTCTTGTTGAGTTTAATGTCATAGATCTGTGAAGTGAAGTCCTTCCAATCAGCACTAATGAACCTGGTGTCCCGATCACTCACAAGAGTTTTCGGGGGTCCATATTGCAGAATGTACTGCTGGTGAAACTCTTCGATCACTAGCTCAGTTGGTGCGTGAGGAGGTAGAGGAATCAAAATCAGAAATTTGGAAAAGCGATCCACAATGACCATGACTTGTGAATGTCCTCCCTCGCTCACCTTCCCCATGTCCATGAAATCGATAGAGACCGACTCACCGGGCCCATCATGAATTGGGAGGGGTTTCATCAGGCCATAAGGCTTATGTCTATGGACCTTGGTTCTTTGACAGACTTGACATTCAACAATAAATTTTTGAACAGATCCCTTCATTCCCGGCCAATCAAACTGCTGCAAAAAGACTTCCATAAGTCTTCTCAAAGTCGAAGTGTCCACTCTGACCATGTGCCAAATCCAAGAAATGAGTCCGGAGAGGCGCATGGTTGGGTACACACAAACGATCAAATTTCCCATATCGGTGGAATACAAGACCCTCACACTCATGAAAATCAGGTTGACTGTTGGGGTCAGCCTTGAGCTGCTCAAGGATGGGATTAAGGTCTGGATCCTTGGCAGTGTGTTCGACCAGATCCTCCTTCAGTTTCCTTCGGAGGTCATACGAGCTCACAAGGCAAGTCAAAAACTCAGGATGACGCGACAAAGCATCAACAACACGATTATAACATCCTTTCTTATGCTTCAGTTCAAAGTTGTAAACATCAATGTCATGCAGTCAGCGGGTCAGCGTCGGAGAGAGATCAGTTTGCGTTTTAATCCACTGCAAGGTCTGATGATCTGAGTAGACCTTGAAGTGACGACCCAAGAGGTAGTGCTTCCAATGTGTGAGCGTTTCTCGCAAAGCATACAGCTCACGGATATATGTGGAGGTAGCTACCTTGTGGCTGACATGCGTTTGTTGTAATATTCGAGCGGACGCAGACCATCGCCATCATCTTGTTGCTGCACTGCACCAATCCCATACTGGCTCGCGTCCGTATTGACCACGAACGTGAGGTTGGGATCCGCAATGCGGAGCACAGGATGACTTACCAAAGCCTCTTTCAAGGCTTGGAACGCAGTCTCATATTTCTCACACCATGCATAGGCAACATTCTTGCTTGTTAGTCTTGAGAGTGGGTGAGCAATAACAGAAAATTTCGGCACAAACTTCTGATAATACGAGGCCAAACCAAGAAAAGAACGCAGTTCCCGTACGTTTGCCGGTTGAGGCCACTTTCGTATGACCTCAACCTTGGTTGCCTCTGGCTCAAGGCCGTTTGCAAACAACCGGTGCCCAAGATAGATGGCGTTGTCCCTTCCAAACTCAGATTTCTCTAAGTTGAGGTGCAACTGTGCCTCCTTGAGGACCTGCAAAACCTCCTCAAGGTGTCTGACGTGGTCTTCCATGGACTTGTCTGAAAATCAGGATGTCGTCGAGATAAACAACAACAAACCTGTTGAGCTGATGGCGGAGAACCTTGTCCATGAGGCACTGAAACGTGGCTGGTGCATTCATAAGACCGATGGGCATAACGATGAATTCGTACAACCCATCGCGTGTTTTAAATGCATTTTTGTGTTGGTCCCTCGGGTCAACTTCAATCTCGTGGTAGCCAGATTTGAGGTCGATCTTGGAGAAGACTTTGCATCCATCTGCCGCATCTAGCAGATCATCTATGCGAGGCAAAGGATAAACATTCTTTTTGGTGATCCGATTTAGGCCACAATAGTCAATACACATCCGGAGTTTGCCTCCTTTCTTCGGCACAAACAAGACAGGTGCACCGAACTCAGACTCACTAGGCCTAATCCATCCCCGATCGATCATGTCACCAATTTGTCTCCTCAACTCCTCCAACTCGCCTTATCCCATACGGTAGATGCAGCCCTTTGGAGGAACACTCCCTTCTATTATCTCGATCTTGTGTTTGACTGGACGCTCGGGAACTCCACAAGGTTCAACCAGAACTTCAGGAAATCGATCTAATAGACGGCGAATGTTTGTTGGGACTTCCGGTGGAGGATCATACTCATCAGGAGAGAGAAAACCAAATTGAGAATTTACAGCAATTACAACCGAATTGGAAGTATGTGGATCAGAAGAAGACTGATTTTTTACAGTAGAAGTAGATGGAACAGAAGTACAGGTAGTAGAAGTAGAATTACTTTCCGAGGTAGAAAATGCAGCAAAAGTAGAAGGCACATGGAGAGGTTTTACAAGAGCTACATGCACATGCTCAGCTTCCTTGCGCCTGCGCACTGATTTGCAGAATTTGTTTGCACTCAAAAGAGTCACAGGGGACTCGCGCATCTCGTCCAATAGAACAGTATGCTCGTTCCCCTTGGCATCACGCACCACGAACTGATTATCCGCCCACGTGGTCCTTAGACAATGAGCCTTTAACCAGCCCAAGCCAATGACCGCGTCGAAAGGACACTTGTCTATGACATAAAAGTTCAGCTCATGTGTGACAGTACGATCCTTGTCAAAAGTGACGCACACACCTTTGACAGCATGTGTTGAGGTGACAACCTCTTGGTTGCCCACCTGGGTCTGACACGGGTTCTGCAATTCCACTTGCTTCATTCCCAGGGCCGCCTTACGGATCCCGTTAGGAGAAAAGAAATTAGTCGTTAAGCCATTATCAATCAGCACACAGATGTATCGGCGGTTAATGAGCAGCTTAAAGAAGATCAATTCCACACTCCCTTGAACACGGCGTTGCTGCTTGAGCTGCAGCCAATGTTCCAGGTGAGAGTGGAAGTCGACTTCCTTAGTCTCCTCCCAAGGCTCAGTGTACAGTACTTGAACTGCAGCAGCCTTGGATACAGCGTCGGTCCGGGCTTCAAGAGCAGGCCGTTGATCACATTCAGGCTCCTTGGAGGGGGCTGCAACTGACTGTTCAGCTTCCCTTGTTGTAGAGAGTGCTGATGACTCTTCTACGCCCTTTGCCTGTTTCCCTGCAGACGATAACAGTCCTGTACAGCGTGCCCAAACTTTTGACAATGCAAGCACACGCGCAGTCTGGATCTTCTCTCCCATTCCTTTTGACTGATGCGGAGGGCTTCCCAAGGCTTGGTGGAAGCGTCCTCCAGTTTCTCAGGGATCTTTGCATTCTTGGGGAGGTGTGCTATACTTCCCTTACCCGAACCACGGTTAGGCCCCTTGCTTGAAGCAGTYTTTTTAAAGGTATTGCATTTTTCTTCAGTATTCATGTCAGACTTAAGGGCTGAAGTAGAACAACCCACGTCGGAGTCCGACTCTAGATCGTCATCTAGAGACAGATCATCCGCATAGGACTGATCCTCAGCCTCCTGATGTTCATGCAGGGCAAGCTGGTTGTTGCTTCCGTACCGCTTGCGTTGCGAGGTTCTACTTGCAGCGGGTGCCTTTGCACGCCTGGTGAGGTTCTTGCTTCTAGATTGACTAGATCCGTTAATGGCTCTCGCCAAGTCATATGGTCTTTGAGTCCTAGCCGGGATACATATTCTTTAGGGGCCACTCCCATAACTACATCCATGCAGACACGTCAGTCCATCCCAGGTTTGGAGTGGTGAACAAACCAGTCAAATGCTGCTCCAAAGCCTGCATGGAGGTCCTCCATGTTTGGCCCTTGAGGGCCTCAAGCTTCAGCCTTGCCTTCAGCGCAGCGTGCTTATCTTGACATTGCGCGATGAGGAGGTCCTCAAGAGTACTTACAAGAATCACTTTCAGCCACTCAGTCAAGTCAATCCTCTCATAACCTGCAGTAACAGCTTGGAGTTCTATGAAACTCCGTATGGCGGGCTCAATATTTGTGCCCATGATCATGCTTCGGTCTTCCTGCAGTGTTCGCAGTACCTCGAAGTATGAGCGCATGGAGTTGATCCAAGAGGTGATGTCCCCCTTCCCGTTGTACTTGGACGGCAGCGTGGCCGCCCTCTTGTCCACTACGAGACCGCTGTATTGAACGCCGGTAAGGACTGTGGCGTTTTGGGCTGATGTTCCTGCATTTGGAACTAGGACCGGTGCAGAACTGCCGACGCTGCCGCTTGAGGAGCTGGCACCGGTTCCTGCGCTCGTCACAGTTCCACTTGCTCTCGTCATGAGAACTGTGTTAGGGTGAGAGACTGGGACTGCCGCAGGTCGAGGGTTAGGAGGACGGGGGGCAGACAGTTGGGACTGTTTGAGGCTGACTATCTCAGCCTGCAGCTCTTGGTTTCGCAGCTCTAGAGCTATCACATGGGACTCTATATCTTCCAGGGCCACAGTCGAACCAAGGCTGCTACGGCAACAACTAGCCTCTCTTGGAACTAGTCATCATTCAATTCCGGAACCTCAAGGAGGGCCACTTGTTCAACAATACTTGTGGTTCTGGTTGCTGCCTCTGCCTCCCTCTCTCTGTGTATTGCGTCCTCATAAAATTTCCGAAAGAAAGGTTTCTCGTTCTCGGCCGCTGCGTCCAACATGGCCTTTCATTGCTCGGACGTGATGTCTGCCATGAGTGAGGATAGGGTGTCAGTAGATCTCTCAAGAGGGGTCCGCACTTTGCTCACTTTTGGACGAACACTCCTCTTACCCTTCCTCACACTCCCAAAAAGAACACCTTCTCTCTCCCTTCTCTCTCTTTCCGCTTTCTGCGCACGCGTCTCAATATCGGACATAGATAGTTCAGATAAAATAAAAAAGTACATCACCGAGAGTAGAAGGTAGAACTCCTAGCCGGAGCGGCAATTCATTTGGACTTAGAGAATGACATTCACGCAACATAATTAAATAATAAAAAAAACGAAAGAGAGGACTGGCTTATCGAACGGGCCCGATCAGATTAGTTGGAGATCCCCTCTTGTCTAACCTGATAAGGTACATGTACCACAATAAATCAGTCGAAGAAAACTAACTGCAGCAATGGAGATTTCGAGGGGTGCAGACGGTCGCCGAGCCAGACGCGGGGCAGTATGTGAGAACATGTAGTAAGACCAGTCAAGATCCCCTTGAAAGGAATGCCCTTACTAGCCGTATGTCCCCTAAATTCAGCACAGCAAAGAGATGCATTGACAGCAACAGATTTGGGTCCTAAAGGTCCTGTCCCGTTGGGCCTGGTCCCACTGAGTCCCGAAGATCCCAAGTAGGTCGTGGACCAGGACCAACGAGATAGGTGTACCAAGTCAGTCCCAAACTGCCTCTACCGTACTGAAAAGGAAAAGACAACTTTCAGCAAGAACTTACCCCTACAGCCGTTCAGAAATGAAAAGACAATGCACCGTAGAAAGATATGTCATTGAGAACAGATACATCATCCATCCATCCATCAAGTGAGAAAGCAATCCACATGCTCACACACACAACCAAGACCGCAGAGAAGAGGAAGAGAGCCCAGCACACCCCAACGGGCCATGAAGCACCAAGCAACCTCCCACGGGCATAACCAGGTCACATGGCACTTACCTGTGAGGCCCGGCCTCCAAAGATGGATAACGGCTCACCCCCCTCTCTCATAGGTTCTCCTGACCCCTAGCTACCACTACACGAAGCGTCCTAGCATGACTAAGAGGGCCTCCCTACACCCCTGTTACAACGCCGGATCCCCCGTCGATGTCTGAAGACCAAAGTAGCAACTTGCAACTCTTCGATGCAGATATGGCAGCCTCCGATCAAGTCTCCCTCTTGAGGGGAAGCCCAAAAGTCACTCAATGTCTTCTTGAAGTGCAGATTCCAGGTGCGAGTACCTCTCACTCTCTACTCCCTCTCGCTTACTCCAATCAGCCTCCTTTGTGTCTCGCCACCCCATCCAATCACACAAGCAACCTGGTCAGGTCTGATGTCGACCCTACATGACCTAACCAGGTGGGGGCATGCCCCTCTTAACCCTAACTTCCCAACCCTAATCCGAGATTAGGTTAGCCCTAACCTAATTCGGAATTAGGTTTAGGGTGACTAACGCCTCTCGCCAGCAAGTAAGTCCGCTCCGATACCAATTGTTACAATCCTGGTCATTCCCAAAGTGCAAATTCACAATGAAATGTCACCCAATTGTGAAAGAAATGAAAGCACTTGCAAAGAGATATAGACGAAAGAAGAGAGAAAGA